GCCCCAGGGGCTGGATGTGGGTGCGGGAGCCCGGCAGCCCAGCCGAAGGGTTGTTTTAGTGTTGGCATCTCTCATCGCTCCACGGCCTTCCCCACCCACGGGACAACGCCGGCCAGGAAGTGCCTGGGAAGATCACTGCAGTCCCCGGGAGGAAGAGGAGGAAGGCCCAGCCTGCAGAACCTACCTCCTTGTAGGTGACAGCAGTGGCCCCTGGATGCTGGGTCATCAGAGGATCACGGGGGCTCCCTGTCCTCCCCCCAGAAGAAGTTGTGTCCAAGGAAACAGCTGAATTCCCACACGAAGAGCTTCCTCCGTAAATTAACTGCTCTCCCAGGGGAGGAAATTATCCGAGTTTCTTTTAATAGGACTTTGATCTCTTGGGCTCTACACAGAACTGCTTCCCTCGCTGGCATCCTCCAGCCCTGTGGTAAAGGGCAGCCAGGATTTATAAGGCAAACACCTTTTTTTAACTCTGCCAGCACACGCGGGGTGAACAACGTTAATAATAAACTTTTGGGCCTGGTCTATGTGCTGCCTGAGCAGCTGGGGTGGGGAGGGAAATAGCTTCTTTAATTCTCCTTTACCCCTGATTCAGCACCCACTGTGCTCCATGTTTTCCCAGGGCCGTTTAATAGCTTATTCCTGTTGTGGGAGTAAGTCACAGGATACCAGTACCTCCTTACTCACCTAACAATCCCTCCATGGGAGGCTGGAGTGCTGTATTTGTGTTTCTTGGTCAAGTGGGACAGCTTTTCATAAGTCAGTAAGTGTGGAGGTGTTTCGGTTAATACCTGTACACACCCAAATAATATAGAATCCTGGTCCCTGTTGAACCTTCATGAAATCCTCTTCAATTAGTGACAAACCACACTGCAAACACCCTCAACGTGTTCTTCGTGCCTAGGGATTTGGAAACCATGGGCTTGAATCCTAATGTTTGATTGACAACCTTGTGCTGACACCTTTTCCTCTCCCAGTTCTGTTTTGTTTCAGTCAGAACAACTCATCACAGGCTCTGCCACACATCAGAGAAGTATTTCAGACACACCAGGTCTCTGCCCAGGGCACTTTTACTTCCTTCTTTGTGCAGCTCCTTGTTCATTGAGCTTGTTTGGTCTCTCCAGCTGTGGTGTGGAAGCTTTTCCCTCAACCTGTTCCATCCAAGAGGATGCTCAGCTTTTCTCCAGTCTTAAAAGAGAACAACAAAAAATCAAAAGTATCTCTAAAATCAGAAGCTTAAGCAGCCACAAAACCACAGGAAAGGAATTATCGACGAAGCCTCCCAATGCCTGGTGACAAATGTCATGCACTGTCCTCCTGGCATGAATGACAATGGCAGCTCTAAAAAGCAACAAATCCAAAGGATGCACCATGACCACAACAGCAGATTCCTAGATTTCTTCCTCAGAGTGAACAACTCAGATGAAAGTCAAGAATTCTTGACTTCTGACCTTCCAAAATAGGTACAAAGCAAACGTGTGTTTTACCTGCACCTCCCAACTCACTCTGTTGAGACACAGCTTTTTGTCTCTGATCAATAATTAACATTTTCCTTGACAAGAAAGGAAACTAACCTGAAAATGAGGAGCAGAGGCAGCCCTGGCTGGGCCACACCTGACACTCCTGTGGCACCATGTTCTTGCCTTACCCGAGACGCTCTCCCTACGTGCCGAGCTCCTGCACCAGGGCAATCCTCCCCCTGAGGTGTCTGAGGAGGATGCAAAACCTCATGCAAAGCTTGCATGCTGACAGCTGAGACCTGGTTTGTGGAGCTCACGGATACCTTCAGGAGAGGTGGTTAATAAGCAGGCATCTGTTTGGGATCACTACATATTCTGGCATCACAACTGCGGGGCATGTGGGACCTGTTCTTCCTGACCAAGGTGCCCTTCCCATGGCAGCAAGGACCTGCCCCCACTCCCAGCAGCCCTCAAATCCCATGAAATACTTGTACGTGACAAAGTATAACTCTTAAGGCAGCAACCTCCCTCGAGAAGAGTCTGTTTATTTAGTCAATATTTATATTCCTAGGTACTACCAACAGGCAAGATGGATTCTGCCTTTCTACTTGCCATGGAAACTTTGACATTTGCTTTGGCGTTAGGAGTAGGGATGGTGACTCCCAAAAGCAGTGGGATTTGGGGGATGGAGGGATGCAGCCTCAAGCCCTGCCTGGCTCCCAGGGGGTCACAGCCCAGCACAGCTGCCCACTCTCCGTGCCAGCCTGAGAAAACCAGCCAACTCAAACCGCAGGCGCTGCCGGAGCCC